GCTGGCTTTTGTATTGGGTTTGACATACCTCAGAAAAACAAAGTCCAACTGCCTCTGTGCACATTTTTTCTTTCTTGTGGTAAGATTTCAAAAGCATTGGTGGACCCATCAGCCAATCACAGACGGCTCTGTTCCAGGACTTCCTGACCCGGGCGAACCGTTATCCCACCTTGGAGCTGTCTGGCGGTCAAGCATTAAGGCAGAAACTCTGCCTCGTGGAGGTAACTCAGGAACAGACACATTTGAATTCTGGTACTGATTCCTGATAACTGCAACTTTCAAATTTATTTCCTGCTGTCAATTCAGTCGTTGAGATATTACAATTCTATTGAGTGCTGGATTGGAGCTCTCGAGTTGAGATCAAAGAAGTCCTTCCTATGTGCAAGCTGCTTCCTGTCTTGAACCAGTCTGGTATTTCAACAGCACATGCACAAAATGGAGTATCTCTGAGGTCATTTGAAAACATCTCTATGTGTTTGCAAGGTAGGCCTATCAACACAGCTGTTCACAGATGTACATACAATCTGCTGTGATGTCAGATGCTCTGCTCTCAAACGACGTTGGATGAACGAATTACCGAATTGGCACATTGCATCAGTTTAAACACCTCGTAGAGCTTCGCCTAACTGAAGATTTTTTTACTGTACATGAATTATTAAAACATTGCAAATCCTTCCAAATGTCATTGTAGAATCTCTCTTTGACGTTATAAGTTCTGTTGTTCTCAACGATTCTCCAGGACATACCCAATGCCTTTCACAGAGACCCACAGACCTTCCACAACATCCTGAGGAAATTCACCAGCACCGGTAGGTCACCACTGGTCTTCATCATCAGTGACAGCTACGGTGGTGAATCAAGTGCCTTCAAGTTGTTCCCCAAGGATGTACAGGGTTCTCTGGGAGTGGACAATATAAGGTGGGAATTACGGATAAGTTGGGAAAATCAGTCTAGGTCCAAATTGGTAAAACATTTAACTGAATCGTGGAATAAAAAGAGAAGACCAGTGTCCACCAATTTTTTTTGTCTGACTTGAGAGCACAAAGCAGTATCTGATTATGGCATTGTTCAGTCATGGTTGTCGAAGACTAAAAACCCATTGGTGTAATTTTATGTTCTGCTTTTAACCGAAAAAATCTTTCAAAAACTTGACTGGCTTTGAGTGCCAATTAGGATTTCATTTGTTGAGTTGTCAGTATATGACCTTCGACAGTGCCTTTTTATGTAAAGTTGTGCTCAACATTTGATTATTTGGGTTCGGTGCCTCACTGGATTGACATCCAAGCCTGATTGTCTACTTTCCCTGTTTATCGTCATCTCTGCTCAGTTTCAACCCAGTGGCCTTGACAAACATGGTAAAGGTGATGACCAGAATAGCAACAACAGAATCCAGTCAGGTAATCAACTGAAAACATCTTTTCCATTCGGCATATTCTCTGTTGGCGAGAGACAAGAAAAATCTCTAGTGCCAAATATTTAGAGGTAAATATCCAAAGAGGAACCAGCAGGTTAGGTAACCGAGTGGCATATTTTTGTCACATGCCCTGAATTCGGATGATTACTGTGCATAACCAGGAGCCACAGCTTTGTTCACATTCAGTTGAAAATTGGTTGTGTTCTTTTTGTCAAACCACAGTACTTACTAGGTATTTTCCCTCACCTGACCCTCGGAATTAGGCCGCATTTTGTATTCTATTATTCCTAAATGTTAAATTGATGGCCATGCTGTGAAAATGCATTCTCAAAAGTTGTCTCTTCAGCATCTGTGCCAAAACTTGACATGGAAGTTCAGAATAGAACGTACAGACAACAGTTAAAGATTTAGCGACAAAACCTGAGATTTTTGAGACTGTTATCACCATCCAGCACCAAGATACTGTGGTGAGTCCATTTGAATTTGATGTTATTCATTTTTAGGGTAAACGAAGGTTTGCAGTACCGAGCAAAGCCACAATTGAAGCATTAGCCATTGCCAGTGCTGGCGACATACGAAGTGCAATCAACTCATTGCAGTTTGCGTGTCTTAAAGGTAGGCTAATAAAAATCTTTGGGACTTATCAAAATCAAAACGTTTCAGTCCCCTACTTGTGATATCCAGGATTACGTTTTTACACCTTCAAACCATGTATCTTACATGGGTATCTTGTGAGCTCAGTGGATGTGTAGAAAGAGGGGATAGGCATCAGAGAATGAAGAGCTTTTGCCATGAGATTGATTAAAGAGAGTGAACATTTTGGAGTGAACCATTTTATATCTTCAGTATCATAAAGTATTTGCTAGACAAAAAGAACAGGCTTTGGAATCAATTAGCCAACAGCTCGACAGTATTCTCTGGTCTTGGTCAGTGTTACAACCTTGATATCCCCTAACAATGAACATTATACAGGGGAACAGTTTTGAATCAGAGGAATTGGAAACAAGCCTCAAGGGCTTTGCTATGAGGAACAAATTCCAAGTTCTGGTGGTAAAATTCAAAATACAATTCCGGAAGAATTGATCACAAAAATATAATGGGATTCAGCCAGCAGTGTGCTACAGATTTGTAGTGATTTCTGATCCCTAATCAGGCTGTCCTAATCGTATCTTCTTTCTGCAGACACACATGACCTTGACAGAGCCCTGGTCAGAAACTCATCCAAATCTTCCAAGACCAAGCCGAGTAGTAAGCAGACGGGGGGCAAGACAGGCCGACAGACCGGGGAGAAAACAAGCTCTGAAGACACGGCTCTGGCTGCAATCGGTGGCAGGGATACCTCCATGTTCCTGTTCAAAGCCCTAGGAAAGATCCTGTATTGCAAACGTAAGAAATTAGATTGGCAAAAAGGGATTGGGCAAACTTTATAATACGTGAAAAACTAGGTGTGAAATGAATAGTTTGTACTTTGCTGGAACTCGTTAAATTTCACACTTCTTAAATGATTATGCAAACAAAATTCAATCAAATGCTGTTGTTGCATGAGAATTGACGAGGTGGACCAGCCTAAAAAGTTTCAAATTGTTGAAATGTCTGTTTGTTAATGCAAGACATGGTGGATTAGAATTCAGTTCTGTTATGCTAATGACGTACAGTGTAACAGATTTTCAAATAAGATTTTCCTTGTGTTAGGAGAACCAAAGATGCCAGAAGACCCTACTTTGCCAGCACACTTGGCTCACCATGATCGTGATAGACTGAAAATCCATCCAGAGGTTAGTTACTGTGTGGCAGAGTGCTTGGAATGATCCAGCAATACTGGGGTTTTCATTTAGCCATTAGAACAAGGCCATCACCTTATTTTGGATGAAGTTTTTACTTGGGATGGTGTTTGGAACAGCATGATTGAGGTCCGGATTGAGGGAGTACATAAAAATCTCAGCAAGGAAATTTTGGCCATTGAGAAAAAGACTGCGAATGTCATGTGACGTATGAAAAACCTCTGTGAGAAGTTAACAGCCTATATGACGTCCTTTTCTCCTCTGTAGGATGTTTTGGAGCATACTCACATGAGCAGCGAAAACTTCAATCTATACTTGCATCAAAACTATTTGGACTTCTATGAGCAGCTGGAAGACGTTGTGGAAGCGAGTCGTTACTTTAGCGATTCTGATCTCCTCACTTGTGAATGGAGGGTAAAGGCATTTTGCATTGATGTTAAAACTAAGGAGCTGTTTTGTCGTTTCTGCTCTGCTGCGGAATACTTTGCCGTTGTTTCTGCTCATTGTTGAGGGAAAAAAAAAGAGATTCAAGTGATGGTGAAGAATTGTAAAATTCACCGTGAAACAAGACTTTGTTATTTGTCCATGACAGTCAAGATCGTCGATGACAACATACGGCGCCTCCCTGACATCCAGAGGTGTCATTCATTGCAACACGGCCCGGAGTCGCTGTAATAGTGCAGGTGGTGGAGGCTGGAAACCACTCCACAAACCCCAGTGGTTTGAAATCAACAGAAAGGTAGGAGTTCTCTGCATGCAAATGATAGGAGGCCGGTTACCAGGCAAAGGTCTCCCTTAAGTGACAAACTATGTGTACCTGTTTGCTTGTACAAATCTGCTAGACTTTTATGTAGGCACCAGACGCATGGTGCAGGCAGTATTGGAGTGTTGGCCCAGCCTGCCTGTTTGTGACCAATGAGGGAGCACTTTTGCACAGAATGGATACTCTTTACATTGGAACAGACTGAGGAGTCAAATATTGGTAACTACCTCCTCCAAAATAGCCCAGCAAGTTAGCAAAAGCCACAATGCCTACAGAGTAAGCATTCTATTACAGATAATGCACAGTCATTCCTGTTAGAATAAATACAGAGAATGAATGCACTTATCCGTAACGACACTTTGTCACATCAGAACGTACAACAGTACGATGTTGGTTGAACACAAGCCACCTTGCTAGCTGCATACTTACAATCAAGTGTTGCAGTTTGGGCCAGATCAAGCGATGTCTTTCCCTTTAAGTTTGCAGTCAACTCCAACCAGGAATGGAGCATCCACCAGTTTCACAGAGCTTTCATTTATGAGTGATACACCGTCTCTCTCTCTCTCATGCTAACCAGTATAATGAGAGTTGCGCAGGTGCCAAGGGTTTGTTTGTTGGTCATTGCTGGACTCCAGTGGAGCTGCAGACTCAACTGTTGCCCTACCTTGCTCTCATCAGCGTCCCGCTCGAAAATCCTGGTAGGTTGCAGCAACACGTGTACAAAGCTGGGATTTTGCTTGGGGGCGGGACAGTGCTTGCTCCTCCCTGCTCCCTTAACCCCATGTCGCCACATCCACCTGTTCTGAGCAATCAAAATCAACGCAAATATTCTTGTCCAGCTTGAAAACACAACAGTGGAGGTGCCGTAACCAGACTTTTCTTGTACCCAAGCCACAGTACGGTGAATATAAATACTGATGGCATGCATGATTGATGAAGGGAACTTCTAAGGATGTCCCTGTCATAAGGGATGAGAAAGAGAGATTGGTGTTTGTGACTGACTCTGTCAAAACGAGGAATAAAGGTTTTGAAGAGGTTACAGAATCGGAAGGGAATGTATTTTCTCAGACCCATAGTCCTGAGTTTCCAAGTTCCATAATTCACTGGAAATGTTTCAAGTGTTCCATCCCTCTGGCGATAAGTTGTACAAAATAATAATTCATTCTGCATTTACAGAAATGAAATTCAAATATTGATCTGCAGGGTTATCAATTACTCATAGATACCAAGAGTATGTAATTTCTTCTGCACAGCCTTGACATCTTATCCCTCAGTTTAATGAAGCAGGTCATGTTTGCTGAGAAATTGTGAATTTAATTTGAAAAAATACTAAGTACAATTTAGGCATACACAATTTCACTGCTGTGCTATTACAAAGATATTTTGGACTCATTGGCTGTGCCACACGTAAGCACAGTTGACTTAAAATAGCTATGCAGGGCAATTTGATTGTCCATTTTATATGACCTACTAGATCATTTGATTTGTTCATTCTTTCCAGAGTGTATTTGGAAAAACTCAAAGATGTAGGGACAACCTTTTTATTGTATTATTTATTTGTGTGACCTTCTTTCTTTTGGTCATCAAACGCAGTTCAAAAGCTTCTTTTTTTCACTGTTTTTTTTTTAATTTGAAGACTTATTCGTGACATTCATCTCACACAGGTCAGATTAATTTCCTCCAGGAAATTACCAGATTTACAGGGAACCGGTTCACGAGGAGGTATGTGCTGAAATTGTTCAGCTTGATTTTGCTGTTAAAAAAATGTGTTTGTATTTGCCCTGAATTCGTGTTGTGAAAGATTTCATCATCTTTGTTGGGATAAACTCGGCTGTCCCCCTTGACTTGATGCACCCCTCAGCCGCAAACAAGAGACATGTTGTTTTGAATCATTTCAATTGGGAGTTCGGCACGCTCGTGAAGACTGTAACTTTTCAACAGATATTGGAGTTCTGTGTGTGTCCCGCACCAAATGCGCATAAACTTGTGTGTGCACGCTGTGAGTTTAAACCAAAGGACTGCCACTGCTGTCTAAGAGCATGCCATCTCTGGTTCCCTTGTGGAACAAAAATGAAGACAACACGCTGATTGCTCAGTTGAGGTGTAACAAAAATATCTCTGGCAAGAGGTTTCTGTCATGCTCAGATTTTTGCGACGCTAAGCCATTTTTGCTTCTCCCTCTTTTTTTCTCAGACGACGACCTGAGAGGCTTGACGAGAAGGACGCGGTGAATGAAGATGAGGATGATGACATCATCAGTTCCCAAGGAGACAAACTGTTACCCCAGAGAAGACCTCACATCAACCCGGAACACGCAGACCCCCTGATGACCAAAACCAAGACAGAGGCTGCCGAAATCATCATCGAGGATTTTGATGACTGAGTACTCGTGTTTGTACAGTTGGCCTTTAGGAGAAATCGTTTGGCAGAGCAGGCTTTCTTGACACGTTCTCTTCAGACCGCTGCTGTGTGATGGACAGTTTGTCTCTTGTGGGATCATGTTGAGGGTAATCAGTATAAAAACTGGACTCTCCAGTTGAATAAACAATCAGTTTTGTGGTTTGGAACTGTTTTTGCGAACAAGTATTTTGGACAAAACTAAATTTTATTCAGAACATTACAAGGCATTCACCTGTTTGGTTTGATACGAACCCATCATTTGTTATACAGCTCTCCTGTTAAATTTCAGCACATTAAGCCAAGTTCAGCAACTTGAGCGGATTGCCAACTTTTTTCCTATTTACACGGTGAAAGTTTCAGTTCAAAGGCCGGGGTTTTTAAACCAGGGTGTAGCCCGGCTCCTCTTAGAAGGGGCGAAAGGAGGGCATGAGTTCCAACAGTGGTGGAAATTGCCCCCCATAGCTACATTGCCGGGTTCTTTTTGAGGGGGAGGGGGGTTAGGGACAAAAGTACCCCCAGGAGTTTGCCCTCCCCACCCCGGCCATGCCATTGTTTTAAACAAACTCACATGGTTTGCAATTTAGCACTTTCCTTTGAATTACAAGTGCAGAAATCACTAGAAATGTTTACTTCTAAAGAAAAGTTTCAGCATAATCTGTTTCAAATATCTCTGGATAGATAAAGGCCGATTCAGTATTCATGATTGTCAAGATGTTTATTTCGTAGCTTTCTTTTTTGTTGGAGCCTGCTTGTGTCCCGTACGCATGTGTGCGCCTAATTTATTTTTGGAACCAAAAAATGCAGAGTTTGTAAATTTGTTTGGCATGTGTGCGTGTTCAGTTTGGCAAACTTAATAAAAGTGGTACCAAATGTAATTTGTCATGCAATTCAAATTTCTTGAAGCATGGAAAAGACTTCTTCGCTTAAATGGAAAGAAAATAGTAGAAGTAATGAAACTTGGAATCAAGCAATGTCATGACAACAGGCTGGATTCATTTTCGACTATCAGGAAAATGTAACTGTAATTGTGTCACAAAACTTTATTCCTCCACCCAGAGAATGACAAGTCTGTCCTAAATTACAAATACAAAATACATGTACAGAAATTACAAGAAAAATGCTTTATGTACCGATTTTAAAAACTCGCGCTTCAATACAATAGTCTTCTGTTACAAATGTACAGTTTAATCCAATGGAGGATAGCTTGCAATGAACGATGAAGACACGACCACACATACAGTTTGTTTCTTGATTATGATTATTTTGAAATTCGGCTCCGGTATTTACAGTCCTATAAACAAGGTGACTTGCGTCCTGCAGATGTTCAAAAACGACAGTTCGTCAAGATCCGTAGCCTTTCACAATGTATATATGCTATCACAAGTTCAATTCAAACTTTTTTTCTGTATGCAATGAAACAAATAATAGGATTTAAGCTTAAATTTGATGAGTGACTTGGACGTAAATGTCATTGCGTAATCTGCGCATGTTGTCTCATCAAACGATGTTACATGTCCTCTTCTCCTTATAGGGGTTAAAGGTCATGACCCCAGGCAGAAGTGGGTCAGCATCGTAGTACATGTTGCAGTAATCCTATACAAACAAAAGGAATTAAAAATGCAAACCAAAACGAAACAAAAAATCCCACTTAAGCTTTACTAAACACAGCCACAAACTAAAAGCAACACTGAAATGAATGAATAAAAACAAAACTGAAAGATAAAAATGGACAAGTTTATTTGAAATGCTTTTGTACGTAAGGGACGTATAGTTGACGCGCAAAATATGAATTTAATTTCTACTTCTTACGGCGAACCGGTTCAACCAAATGCCGTCGTGGTTGGCGATTTACACGTCAGGGCGGCTAGTACATGGTTCTCTAATTGATAACGTAGAGGTGAAATTTTCTACGGGTTAATCAAACAAGGATATAAAGGCTTGTAACAGATGAACAGCGTCCGAAGTAGACCCAGGGAGGGAAGGATTTAGATGGTAAAGGTGAAGATTGGCACGGTAGAGGGAAAAAGCGGTTGGGGAGTTCCGGACGTGGTGCACCCAGATTTGTCGTGAGAGGAAGGCTTAGGGTGGAATTTAACCCTCCTCCCCCCATGATGCCCACACCCCCTGCGTGGTTGCACCATGGGACTGGATTTTCACGTTGAATTTCGGTGTTCCCAAACACAGTGTTCAACCCACCATGAGAGTCCACCCAGACACCGATGTTCTGGAGCGGTCAATGTTAGCCTCCTTACGAAGCTGTTCTACTTCTCGACGCAGTTTCGTGATCTACGACCAATAAAGAAAGCAGCCAATTATTACCAAGTTAGAGGGGGGATGTTGTTACAATGTGTTGTCATAGTCATTTGGGAAGCAATAATGAATTGTTTTCATGTTTTCATTCAGATCTTTTACACTCTTTACTGTCCTTCTTGTCACAGCTGTTACTTAATCGCTTTCACCTTCTAATACGCTGTGATTGTATGTTACTCAACAGAAAGACATATTCCAGATTTTGTTGAATTGTTCACAGCCAACCAACAAAGTGGATTCTATTGCTGCTTTTTCAACATGGTCAAAGACAGAAAATGATATCTAGAACCAAAAGCTGTTGCCCAAAAGAAATAAGTTTGTAAAAGTTAATCAAATCTCTTATGGAGGCCTACCTGGGATGACTTGTGTGCCAGATGTTGCGAACGGTCCATAGTTCTTCTTGTAAAGAGCATGCGCTGAAAAAAAATTGGTTGAAATGGGGGACAACCGTAAATTAACGTACCGGAAAAATGCCGTCAAATCGAGGATCATAGTGAAAAACCCACTTGTGAGTGAAATTTGTGCTTGACTTTTTTTGAAGATACCCCATCAAATGCAAGTTTATGTGATAGACGCGCGCTCGTACGGAGCTTGCATGGAGTAGAATGGGTGACCCTGCAGACCATCCAAACGCCAGCTTTGGTTAAGAAAGAAATCAAGCCTAAAAGAGTTCCTTCCAAGTCCTTTAGTAAAATATAACGACATTTTCTACTACACGTTACCCTAGACTACCTTTTTTCCCCTATAATAGAGCCACAGCTGATCTGTTTATAGAAAAAAAAAACAGTCGAAAAACAACAGCAACTATAGGCTCTACTTGATTGGATCTAGATATCCCAGGTGGACCACCTGACCGTCAGTCGTAATGAAACGAAGACTGGCGTCCAACCCGGCCTAGAAACTTAGCTACAGTTTTAATCACTTGGCGTGAAGTCCTTGCATGAAAAGTAAATCAGATTTATCTTAACAGTTGCAATTATTCTTCAATCCAGCTACTTAAGGGAGGGAAGCGTATGCATTCTGCATTGCTTACCAAGCGAACTGATGTTGTTTCCCCCAAAGGACAACCGTTGAAGATGGTCTGTGTTGTTTGCTCTGTTCACGATGTCTCTCATCAGGTACCCAGTGTTAGAGTGCGTGAACACCGACTGTTTACCACTAGCGTGACTAAAACCGATACAGAAACACAGCTATGGCTTTTGTAGTCATTTTTCTCGATCATGGCTGCAAGCTGCTAGCTCGATTGTTCGCCAAACCACGCCTTTCTCCGTGCATTCCGAACGTTCTTTTTCTTTCAGTAACTCGCTCATGTATTTCGTTCAGGCAAACTCGAAATTCTTTACAAAGCCTCGTGCTTTAACTGGATAACTTCCCTTTGTCTCGTTCTCTTTATTGACTTTGCGGCTTGCAGCTTCATCTTACGTTGCCTGTTGCAATGATTTTCGTGCTTCCTTTTTATTTTGCCATCAATGACTCCTTCATCAATATAGTGCTGTCTTCGATTATGTTTCACTAAGTCTTGGAATCTTTGATTAGTCGCAAGATTATTATTTTATGCCTTAGTTTTTAACTAATGATTCCATCAACTGAACAATAAAATTTATTTACTTTCTTCAGGCTCCAAGTTTTCCCCAGTTTGGAAAGAACTCAGACCATGGCTCCAATGATGTATCACCTTTTACATACAAACTGACCTGAGTTGTCGCTTTTTCCTACATCAAAAAATAATATCGGTGCCATTAGCATATGTTTCAACCTATTTATTAAAAAAGCGACTTGTCTAGCACGGCACAATAGCTTCAAACGTGACTACGTACGCAATAGAAAACAGGTCCCGCGCGCCGCAGCGTGGATAACAATGAGCACGAACAAACACCGCCTTGCCTCAGTACCATAGAAACGAATAAGAAACACGCATGAATAAGCCGTTGCCATGCCAACGGAGTGACATTCTCCCTGCCGGAAGACGATTCGTGTGTATATTGTAAGCTGCGTATGAATTGCGATTATGACAAGGTATAGCTTTTCAAGAAGCCGGCTCTTTTTATCAATGCTTTTCCTTCTCAAGAATTGATGAAACTGTTCATTTCTCTGCTGAAACCTCATTTCAATCACGGCTTTTATAAAAACTGAAAATCACCCTTTCCGCATAAAGCGCCTGCCTTGTAAAAACATCACCGGCAAAAAACTCTGAAGAAAAAAAGCACAATGATCGAATAAAAGAATGATAAATACGAGACAATCCCTTTGAATAAAATTTATTGAGTTGATATCTTCACGAAAACCGAACATTGTTAATCTACGTTATGTATTTAATGTAATTTAAACGAGGATGGAGGTCCGTAAAACTACTGACATTTTAGGTTCAACAATTTAAAATGGCGGCAAAAACCCCAGCGCTGTTTATTGTAAACACCGACATGGGGGCTGCTCAGATAAATCTTAATTAAGCACACACCGCGTGCTTTGCACGAGCGGACGTTTGCAATGTGGACGCACTGATAATGATAGTGCATGCGCACGCAACTACACAAACTTAGATCTGAGCACTCCATATAGTTATGGGACGCCTTACATGTCATTATACTTAGATTAGCTCAAAGGTAAAAATATGACCACGTCTTTTACCATGCACACCAAATGGTTGCCTTAACACTTGACCAAATGTACGAAACTGTACTTGTTAAGCCTACACCAAACAGACGCCGGGTCTTCTACTATAGACATTGAAGCACTGAAAACAGGCATAGTTATTATAACATGAACGTCTATTTGATGTATGTTAAGTGGAATGTCCATAGCTTGAGCACTACCCTCTCCAAAAAAAAAAAAATCATACGGAACACCCCCCCCCATCTGATGACTTGAAGAAGAAAAAAATAGAAAGGGCTCTAAATTTCAGAGTTTGGTCCCAAGTCTGACAACAATAGACTGGTGTTTGCATCACCGTTAACTATATGACTTCAGTGCAAACTACTATTGTTTTCTTTTTTCAACTGGTAACTCGTGCGAACTAAAACAAAATGCTCTAAGGAAAGTCAATTTGATTGGGCTACGGTTGCTATTTAAATATAATATTATACGCCAGTTAAAGGTCCTTTAGAGTAGTTCAAATAGTCTATATATTACAACTTTGTCAGAGAATGTACATGCAACACCAAAAGACAGGACACTTGTGGCAGCTCTTTCTTAAGTAAAAAGCATGCAACAAGTACATTTTTAAAACAAGTTGATGCATAAAGAAAATGATTATTCGTCACAAATAATGGGTCAAGGACAGAAAATGCAAAGCTCCTAGGCTGATGACTACACGGCGTCTCTCTCGGCGTCGTCATAAAAAGTGTACAGACAGTACTTTTGTGAATCAATTCCCCGTTGAGAAATGACCCTGTGATGTTTTAGTGCTACCACGCCGGCCTACAATAATGCGAGACTCCACGAAAAAAAGAGCAACATATACCCAGGACTCCTTGAAAAAAAAGGTAAAAACTCGTCAACAAGGAATAATGATTATCATTTACATCATAATAATACTAGGTTTTGCCCTTGTGCAGTCCTATGTAGTCACACCGTATTTCTCAGTGGTCCGAGGTATGCGAAAAAATTCCAAAGTGTGCCACAGGTTGGATTCAAACCTACGACGTCTTGCTTACAAGTGCAGATGTCCCACTCACATGACCATCATGTGTGCTGGCACTGGGTGCCTGGCTCGAAGCCAATTCAGGAGCGTGTTCTATAGTATCATATGATTTGTTTTGTATCGGCAGGGAAATATTTGATATTCTGTTTCCTTCACCTGTTTGATTTTTCTCGGGCTTAGTTGAACAAAATGTTTGTAATTTTTGATTGAGTTGACACAAGGAGCTGGAACATCTATAAATCAAGATCTATCCACTTACACGATGACGGGTCAACGGATACATAGATCTATTGAAATCTGGTACCCGTCGACTTACCCACTGATAGATAGATGAATTAAGTATACACATGACGGAAACCAGTCTAAACTAAACATGCAAGCAAATTAGGTCTTCCATTGTAAAAGCGTGTATCAAAACCACTACTCTTTAAAAATCGTCTGTGACAATTTCTGAAAATTTCTCCACAAACTGAAATAATAGTCGACAAATTCTGAAGCCTGAATTTTTGACCACACCCCCAAAAGTCTTCAAGGTATACCTCTTCTGCATTCAAACCTCTTGAATGCGTGGAGAGTGGGTTTCCATTATGAACAGTCATTTTCATTGATTTTTCTGGTCAAAATCTGTAGATTTACAAATCAAAGATCTCATAAGGTCCTGAAATTTACCGTTATCGTTTCTACAAAAAATGCCAAGCACATAATCCCGTCAATACTAGTTGTAGTTTACCAATACTGTGTGAAGTAGCGTGCAAGTTTGACGTTCGAAATGTACAGAAGTGTAAAATTATAGGCCAAGGCGAATCTCCTTATAAAATCGTGCATGCTTTCTTCTCCTTGAAAGGGTTCAGATTAGGCGGAACACCTAGTACTAGGTAGTCCTCCGGGGAGTTAGCTTGGCAATATGCCTGCAAGGAAAAGACACCAACGACAAATGAAAAAAAAAGAAGACACTGTTAAAATGCTAATTAACTGGGGATTTAATATTCGGCTTTTCTCAAACCAGGCTGAGGTACCTAAGAACACTTTTGTATCACTGGTGTTTTTGGTGATATGAAAACACCAATTCCCTGAACAAATGTCACCGATCCAAGAGTCAACACAACTGTCATGTGTAAACGAAGTTAATGGGGTTGGTGGTTGGCAGCACGACCTACGCAAACGTCAACATGAGCAGGAAAGATATCTTGGAATACTATTTGTATGCGCGCTGATATGAATGCGCACTTTGTTCGTTAATTATATAGCAATCTGACATACCAAACTTAATGCCTCGTTCAGTACTCGAACGTGTACACTTGGAGATCCTCGATAGTAGTGTTGTATCCTGATCCATACTTTCCCCGTACTTTTACTCAAACTCTAGGAAATATTTTCGACTACATCGTTGATATCAAAGTCTTATAGCAGTTCGAAAATTGGAATTACTCTCTCAGTTTCTGGCATGACGACATCATCTCCCAGAGTGATTTATTAAAAAAGTATTCAGCACAAAAAACCGTTATATCAAAACTTTCACAAGAATGCGTTTTGCACTTCTACTTAAGTAATCATTTAAGTCAAAACACCCTTTGAGGCCAACGCTTAACACTAATAATAGCCTTCCTTTCAGATTGAGAACGCCGAATGAATGAGCAGATATACTGTTTTCGTTTCATTGTTTACCAGTTAATTTCTATATTCACTTGTTCACTTCTACGTACCAAGAGGTCGGCCCCAGCCTGTGAAACTTTGACTCGCTCTATGTTAGCCTCCATTCGAAGCTGCTCCACAGTTTTGCGGAGGCTGGCGACCTGTGAAGAGTTCACAAAGAATACACATTACTGAAAGCAACATACCCCCCTCCCCGAAGAATAATATAATATCAACACAATTTAAGTTTATCACATCTGAATGGGGCATTATCAGACAAAGAGGAAATGTAAATTGGGATGGCAATGTGAAAGACATGTAAAAGAACAAAAAACGCAATTAAAGACGACGAGCCATTTATGACCCAATTATATTGACTACTTCCATCGATTTATCAAGTAAAACCATGCTATGGCGAGAGATATGGTCCCGTGATGTAATGGTGACCACCTTGGCCTTTGAATCCAGATATCCAAGTTCGAGTCCCAGCGGGACCTTCTTCTTTTTGTTTTGCCAATTTACAAATGTTATCTCCAACTTGCAGATCATTGTTCATGTAACTGAATAAATATTCAGTTCATAAAAGATGCACTGATGAACAAAAACCACCAAATAAATGTTGAACGCTTTCGAAATTAAATACTATATGTATGTACATGAATATTAATTTTACTGAAATAAGCAATGCATCTGAAAACATTGTTAAGACTACCAAGATTTCAAGCCTGCCTTACCTAAGCGCATAATTTTGATGTGGACCTCGATCAAAAGAGATTATTGTGTTAACTTCTGCACTTTCTTTTTCTGTGGATAAACTAAGGTCTTCCTGTGTGTCAAAGGTCACAGAAATGCGTCAAAGATCAGTAGTCGTACCTGTGCAGACATACTAGGCGCTGGTATCTGTGCTCGTCCCAGCTCTGCTTGTTGTTATGACGACCAGTAATAAGGAAACAATCTGTGTAGAGGGCGGCCTCTGTAAGGAGCGCTGCACAGAAAATGAAACAGAACCACGTTCTTAAAACGAGTTATCACAGACTACAGGGTCACCATACTGTGCCAATGAATAGAATGCGTGCTAGACGCACAAGAAGGCTAACCCAAAAAATAGTGAACTCTGCATCAGATGTACTGTGTCCGCACTCCCCGATATGGCAACGTTGAACCTCGAAACCTGCCTTCGAAATTCGTTCATTGTTTATATTGTTAATGGGTTATGATACATTTTTGGACTTTGAGGTTCCTGATATCCAAGTCGCCTAGACAATTCCGCCACAACATCACGGCGCTGGTCCTTACCCGTGACAATTTGCTGAAACAGTGGCGTGTGAATCACAGACATAGAACAGCCACTATCTGTCTACTATCAAAGATCTTTTGAATTCAATGCCAAGGTACATTAAATTTTTCATTTCCAAATCTGCTAGGATACTTGGCAAGACGCAGAGCATTTCTGTAGGACACTTAACAAGGGGATTAAATCACAAATTTGGACATTCATTAAAAGAAATTACTTCCCTCAGGGTGCAGAGACAGATGTTTGATGTGCTATCTCACAAATGATAAAAACTAAGTCATCAATTAGCCATTGAGGCGCAGGTGTTGGTACAGTGAAGGGCCGGCTCATTCATATTAATTTCTATCCGTCACAAAAAGCTGTCTATGATCGCTCTCATTTCCGTATTGGTAACAACCTAGTGTTGGAAATAATCAATGCATTTAGCTACATAATCTGTCACGATGTCATTCAAAACCGCATAAGAGGCAAATAGTACCAGCAAAACTGAAGAAAAATAAACCCTCTCCATTCTAAGTGTATCGGTGTTGCTGCGGTGAGTATTTTGTGGACAGATTGGTAATCCCAAAGGAAAACGTATAAACGAGGCAGAGATTGAATTTCAAAGGGATTCATGCAATGTGCAGAACATTTTGGATGAAGTTTCATCACACATTTCGAGAGACTGAGCATCGGCTTAGGGGTCCTGCATGATTTAAAAGTATTTGTGAAACAAAAGCTTCTGCTGATGAGACCAGGGGTGAGCTAGTGGCGCGTCCATGCAAATGAAAAACCTCCAAAATGTCGACGTGGTGTCATTGTCAATGGTCATCCCAATGCGGTTGATGGTAAAAATATCTCCTCGCGCTTGTAAGTAGTTTTATGCAATTAACAATTTAGTCTCAAATATTTACGTTTCATGGTACATAAACCCCAAAAGGGCTTATAGATCTCACTCAAAATAAAACAAACTTCCTCAGTCGTGAAATTCTGCTTCCAAAAGAGGACCAGATTGTTCAAAATTTATTCTAATTACGGCAGAAATAAATCAAAGAAAACCCGCTAGCTGAATAGTTTGCTCCGAGCTCCGAGTATCATGACACCAAAGCTCCGATAATATCACAAAGGTCACGGGAGATGATATTGCCCGGGCTTAAACATTACGCACCTGTTTGTCTAGCCACTCCTCGTTAACCTCATATGTTGCCATGACATTAAAAAAAAGACATTATTCGAGCGGCGGAGCCTCTGACCTTGATGCTTAATGCCAGCAGATCTGCTCCCGCCAAACAACCCTCGCTTCGATGAATACGATCGACGTGAACACAATGATATACAGAAACGTAGGACGCTATATGGGTAGCACAAAGAGAATAAATATTTCAGAAGAAAATTGCGGAATCTACTCTTCCATCAGTCGCAGTCACAGAGCCTATTCTTTCACAGAGATATCATTCTGGTTTGCCCCTGATGAAAATAACCAAAAACCGCACATTACCTCCGATAAACGTCAATATTTAGCCCATAAAAGGGTCTTTTTTAGTGATGGGGTTTAAAAGAACTGAATGAAACACTACATTGTATCACAGGGGTGTTTGATAAGCCTTGAATGTGCATCTAGTCTCAAGAGCCTCATTTGACAAACTTATCTATCCAAGAGATGAAAATCTTCAGCGATGAATTAACAATAATCAACGTGGCATCGAGCGCTGTAATGTTCAAGTAGTTACCACATTTTGATATCATGCCCCCCCCCAATTTACTCCTGCGATCATGCTGCCAACAACCTTTTATCTCAAAATCAAGTTCAAAAGGAATGGAACAGAACATCTGGAGTGTGGAGTTGGAACACACGATTATAGTTACATGAAACATCCGCTGGTTGATTCCAAAAGGGGTATTGAGCGCCACAGGCTGTCAACGCTATATCTTTGTATAAAACCAACGTGTCTCTGGCGCAGGCGAAAAGGTATAAGTTGCAACAAGAAATAACTAGAAAGGGGGACTTTCAGAGAGGACATAACTTGAAGACGAATTTGAACGCCAATTCACGTCTCCAGTAGCCACTTTATTCACTGAAAACGGTTTCGTAAATATTGTCTCACTACACTTAGTTTTATGTCAATATTAGTCCGCGGGATGCCTCGCCAGCTGACGTCCGTAATAACATCCGATTGTCAGTTCCGTGGAATATTGACATTTGGAGTAATTACAAAGCATGGCATGTTCCACTCCACTGATCCCACCATCAGAGCGTAATAAGACATGTGGTTCTCCAATTTGTGTGCTTTAATCTTCTCAATCCTCTCCGTCCTCCCCTAGACTTCTTCAGGACGGTTGTTCGCCTCGCCTGTTTTTAGAACCTTCCCAAAAATTCTTCCTTCGCCTGCCCTGGCAGTGCTCTACTTGTTACGTGTTACATTCCATGTTTTTCAACTGCGGTCGTTCCTTCCCGAGCTCTTTTGTACTTTATCTTCTCGATAGCCCTTCCCACATTGCGTCAGTTTGTTTTGTTCCCTATGGTCTTGTGAGTTCTTTCTTGTCTTTCTGCCTTCCTGATTATGTGACTGGCTAGATGTGGTTGACGATCAACACCGCAATAACTATTCTATCTACATGCAGTTCCCTGGTCATCCACCGTTTGCTGTTCCTCCTTAGCTAACCCCCACCCCTTCATCCGACTGTCCTCCCTTGCCCTACCCACTTCCTCTAGCTTTTCCTCCCTAGAGGAGTCGCTCTCAGAAAACATGTCAAGAGCAGCACCCGGAGATGTTCCAGGCCCGTCCTTCATTATCGAATCAATAGAAGGCCTCTCGGCGATGCAGGTCCGCACGCACAAACGCGCGCGCCGAAGGGGGGGGGACACATCCTCGCCAGCTGTGGAAGAGCGGTATCCCCGTTGCTTTCCGCATCCCCACCTGCAAAGCCAGTCGCTGGTGTTAGCATTTCTTGCTCTCCTCTGTCACCTCGAGCAGCTCCAGGACGCACGTCCGGAAAATTGGTTTTTAAAGATTTCTCTTGGGTCAGGCTTGTGAATGTCGGAAACGTACAGGTGAGGAAAACCCTAACCTAAATACAAGTGGATTTAATTCCGCAGAGCAGAGCTGACATGCAATGCAACATTAAAGGAGACTTTGCGTTCTCGAACTCTGAGTATCTACGGCTCCGTCTACAAGTTTTGTTTTCTCCAAATTCAGATTCAGATTCAAGAAGACGTTTATTCCATACTCTTTAAAAAAAATTACATTGGTAACTAAAGGGAACTCGGTACAGAAATTGACAACATAGATAAGATTATAAGAAAATACATCAGAAATTAAAGATGGAAATTAGCAATGGAGACGTAAATAACTTTTTACAGATACATGTACTCAATAAAAAGAGAACATTAGAGCTTATGATAAGATAAAGAAAAGCAGTCCATGTACAAATGAAGAAGGAAAAGAGCATCTCCGCGATTAAAACAATGCCGTCGAGGTATTAAGAATTCAGATATGACAAATGCGCCGACTTTCATTTAGGCTACGCCAGGTTTGCGGTAACACCACTGAAAACGACAACTATCTTGATGTAACAAACCAGAAGCTCCTCGTCACTAACGTCGAAGATGTTCCATATATTTAGATACGGGGATGCTGCATGCAGCAATTTATCACATTTGTCCACAAATTTTAGTTCTCCATAATGCGAAGCTCAGGTCTTGCTTATCACCCAAATTAATGACACGCGTCTGCAGGGTCTGCAGAAGTAAAACGTTCTGTGACATTGTCATTTTGTCCAGATAGTAAATGTCTCTCCTCTTCTGAACGACATAACATTTCGCATAGAAAAAATTAACACACCATCACGTTACCATTTTGCTGAATAAAACTCTCAACTTTTTGGACCTCATGTCTCGACAATCATTTAAATCAGTTCAAATCATCCGATAATAATGATAATATCGGCAATAACCATAACGGTTATTTGGTTATAATCAAAAAGTAAAAGAAAAGAAAAAAACATGACAAAACAGTACCATCCATTTTTTTAAAACTTTATATATTCAAGTCATTTTTCTTTGAAGGACCGTGGAGTAAATAAGTCACTCGTTAGCGGACAATCTATGACCAGGGCATAGAGTTGACAATACTCAACCAAAATTGATTTCTCTTGAAGGGAATGATGTTGATATGAATGTACAATATTTTTTCGCGTGGCATGTCACTTCATCAACCATCTGACACGTTATAAGCACATGTAAATTTCATCTGGCGGTAGCACTTGAGGCTTGATGTAGTCTGAAATTCTAAAGAGCAAAGAAGAATTGTCGTACCGGGCGGCTGCCTATGCAGCACAGACCTTATGATTAGTTCCGAGCTTCAGCGTTGCTAGGAAACTCGAAGGCTGCTAGGCAACTCCGTATCAACCCAAGCATTGCATGGGTAGATTTAGCAGGGAAGCAAGCTTGATTTAAAAGAACGAAAGTTCTTGAATTATGTTTCTGATGACTAGCCGTCAGGTAGAAATAAAATGAATTATCCCTAAGGTTCGTTAAAAGGAATTAATGTCGCGAGCACCAGCGGTGCTGCGTTTTGTTTTTGCTACTAATGGATAATTCAATCACCATTCTCGACACTCGTGACTAATTATACAACACATGCCATTACGACTCGGTACGGCGCTGTAACTTGACATACAATGATATAATAGGTGTCCGTCCTCTTCAAGTGTATTAGCCTTTTCGTTGGTGAGAGAGTCTCCTGTATCAAAGGGCGTTAGTGGAGGACCCTAAGGGCAAACAATGTTTTGTTACCTTCATCTGACTGCCCAAAAATCCGGAAATCTCTGGTTTCATTTTCAAAAGGAGACGTCGAATTTTGAAAACTAAAGTGTTTGAAGTTAAAATTTAAAATATCATGATGCAATAAATTACGTTTAATAATCATTCATCTACGAAATTAACGTATGGTTCGTTGGTACCCACTAGTCCCTCTGTAGACTACGCTCGACGGCAATATGCATGCGGTCATGATAGCTACGATGGACGGCTTTGCGGTGTCCATGACGGCTATGTTGAAAAAAAAAACTGCTATTAAGTTGCGTTGCTAACATTCTATTCAGATGGTGATTTTTCTGTGTCATTCAATGTCAATGTCGCCTCATGGGGCCCTGCAGCCTGTCTCGCCGACTGAACTCCTCATTTTGTCTCGGGACCTTGGATTTCATTACATGCTGTTCAGGGTATCCTCATCAGGATAGAAAAGTTATCGGGGGCAAGTGGCCGTTCATTCCGACGTCGGCCCCTTTTTCAATAAGTAGAAACGGGATAAACTATTATGTGCACTATGTATCCCCACCCCCCCGACTCTCCAAGTCCCCCCTCCCCCGATATTTTTCACGTGAGGGCATCAAACCGATTGTCTTAAAGGAGTGCACAATTACACTAGCGGCATCTGCTCCGAAACAAGAGGATACATACAATCCCCTCTACAGGTGTAAGACAAAGGTTTCTCCAGTCTTTTTAACAAAACATAAACAGGGGGGGGGGAATGAGAATTTCAGTGAAGTGGAGGTTTCGCCCAACAATCCTCTGGCTGAATTCGGTTACACACGTAGGCCTACAGCGATGCTCGCCAATAATCTCTTGATCCAGATCGACAGTCAAACTTTGCAATAACTCCCATGCAATCTCAGACCTTTTTTTATTTATTTTTCCTAAATCCAATCATTTCCAGGCCGGTTTGCTCGGCAGGGAATAACGCTCAAAAGTGTCCTCGTGGTTTTATTGACTCAGGTGAAACCGTTGCTCCGCGGGAAAATATCACTTTCCACTCTTTTCTCGGTTATGATGAGTCATTCCAGCCCGTGGAGTGAGCTCCACAGACGGACTATCGTGTTTACTTCGCGCGGGTGACCCAAGAGTGCTGTCATAAAGCGATAACAATACCCAGCAATTTCGCAACGATAGCATCTATATGAGCAGGTGTTTTCATAATGCACCCTGGCTGTGTGGAGCCATTCTTAACACAAGAGAACAAACAGTATTTTTAAGACCTATCACATGAACCTATCACATGAATCTCTCTTCTCCTGCAAGGTGAGACATTATTTTGCATGGGAATGCAGCTAAAAAGAATGCTTAATCTGATTTACGCATGTAGGCCTATAATTAGATTTAACCATTCCGTTTTGGTTTCGAAATATTGCCAGCAGAATGCACCCTATCAAAGGAACCAACTTGCCCAAAGAAAACTGTTGGATCTTATCACAATGTCGGGCATTAGAGGCCTAAATGCGACACTATAGGCATTGCTCTGGCCCTTGAACTTCAGGAATAAAATGCAATTCCAGAATATATCGAAACCAACAATATGAATTGGTATAGTGGAAGGATACAGGCAAACCACGCTCGTTGAAATCAATACGCACTAGCTGTCAGCTTTTCGTCCGTCCAGAGGCGGAATTAGGCCTACTACTGATGCCAAACTCAATATGTATTTCACGAAAAGCAAAAGGAAGTTAGCTCCTTCCAAACACAGTGGGAAAAATAGTCACTATGTCCTAAAATATTTCGTGGGATCAAGTCACAAATGCCAATAACTCTCGTGCTCTCACACAGAAATACATGTATTGATAATTTTGCAAACATACAAACAAAAACTTACAGTTGTTCGGTCTAAACCAAAGGAAGACCGCCCAAGGTTAAACAAAAATGAAAACAAATCATGCTATGCATCGTGTTATGCACAGAAACAATAAAATTGAAGCAATTGTGATGGTACCCGTGCGGTAGTATCGCACTGGCCACCATTTTGTCGTTGACGTAATGACTTCGTCCCGCCGGCCCACTTTGAAAACCTCCTAAATATGCATACGTCCTCACTGAACGATCTCTGTTAAATTTACCTTGCGTGTAGAAGGCTTTTCTCTGTTTTGTCATTTGCAGACAATACATGCATGGGTCTTCCCTTCGACAGTTTTGATTGTCCCATCTTGCTTTCTATTGTGTCACAAATGTTTCATTTTATTGAATTTGCGCTTTATATTTAGCCTGATCAGTTCCAAAGAAATGCTCTCACTGCATATCCTACAATTAATGTTACTCTAGTAAAAAGCCTTTATAAAATGCAAAATATCTACAAACAAAATTCTGACCCAAATGAAGATGATTATGATAAGAAAAGAAGAAGCCATTGCGGTGGAACAAAAGCCAATATGCAAATATGCAGCACATTATGTATTCATATTTATTTATTTTAAATATAAGGATAGATAATGCCTGCTCTCTGTAATACCGATTTTCTTCACTTCCATCTCCCTCTTCGTTTATATGGAATGGGGAAATTAACGGTTCTCTGCTTGGTTTGGTTGCGAGCACAATTAGGAACATCCATCCTTTATTGTAATGCTCACAGGTCTACGTGAATCAGCACTCAGCAGTTCATTATGCACACAACTCGTCCATTTACTCAAGTAAAAATCACCTTGAACAATCACGGGTAGGCCTATATGAGATTCAAAGAAGCGAAAATGCTCGCATATAGCAGTGCTATCTTCAGTTTTGAAGCGTCTGAATTAACGCAAGCGGAAATCATGACACATCTTATTGTATGAGTCAACGATTGCACTGCCATAGATCAGTTGGTCTTTAGCTGAAGGGAGTGAGGCATTGACGGCGCACTGGTACCAGAGCGCACGACCGGTGAAATCCACAGAGCTTACAAGGCTCTACCGAGGAATATATAATCTCCAGCTGACAACTTGTGCCTGTGATGACATGTAGCTCTTACCTGGAAATATCATTACTGGGCCCAGCGTTTAACAGGATATTGGCATGATATTGACGCGAATAACATGCAAACACCTCTGGGTAATTAACTGTTTCTAGCCCGGGGAAAATCACCACGCACATTTTCGCGTCACATGCTGGCAATAAAAACATTCGTGTCCACCTTTCATTCTTGGACTATTCGATTTATATTTGTCAATGGATAATTTCTGCCGGCCAAAAGTGCTTTTAAAAAGAGATGAAGTTCTTTTTTGACAAAAAGATAGTGGAAATTAAATTTGATGTGACATTATCGAATTAATCTCTCATCTGATGACAGACGTGGAAGATGGTATTACTGGATTTAGACAATTTACTTCTTAAAGTCATTCATTATGAAAGGTAATCTTCTCGGTGTGCACCGTGTCCTAATCAATTTACTTTAGGCTGGAGACCTGAACCAACGGGAAACGACCAAACAGTATTACAATGCCCCAAGAGCCCAGAACGCCTTCAACACAAGCCCGACGGCAAACATAATCTCCTCTCATTGACTGTGGATCATTCAAAATAGACAAAAACTAAATGGCGAAAGTGTAACTGCCCGGAATGCTCTGAGGACTCATACATCCAATCTGAAATCATATACAATACATTACAAAAAGAACACAAATGACCCCCCCCCCGAAAAAGACATGTCGCTGAAATGCTGGAATTTCACAAAATCAAATTTAACACCGCATATCGAATTTTCATTTTACCAGATACTCCAATGGTACACAATATTTTATCATCAAATCAACCATGCAACAGACCGTAAATGACACGTGTGGGTTTAATAACTGGCTGGAAATTTGAGTTGGATAGCAGAACACTGAATAGGCCTAATGCATTTCATCCATACATGTGATGTCAACTCGTGCACTGGCGGCGCGCGCAATTATAAGAGGCCTAACTGACCCTTTAATGTAGGCCTAAAACTATGAGGCAAATTAAACGTGACCAAAGCATTTCTGAATGCATCCAAAAAGGAATTCCTCCAGCGTCAGATCTTTTCTTTCTTTTTTTTTTGTTGGGGAGGGGATTCACTATCGATACATGGAAACCGTATGCACCTACCCCACTGTATTACAAGATAGGTATAACGCAAACAGTCGGGTCAAGGTTCCACGTTACTAAGTACATATGCGAATCCCCAACGACAAGATTTGACAACGCATCGTCAGAAAAATAATCCTCAAGCTTAACATATTTGACACAGTGGCGCAGACGGCAATTTTTCTTGCCCTACACAAGGCGCATTGTAACCGATACAAAGAGAAACGTCGGTGGCGGACAAAATGATTGCTGTCTGATGGAAAAGATGGGAAGAATTCGGGCACACCTTACCTTGCGAAGCGCAGTGAAGACACACACCAGATCTGGCAGGTTTCTTACATGCGAGATGTACGGAACCACGCCTAGTTATCTTGCATCATGAGCTTAGGGGTCGAAGCCGAATCGTATTTTACGCGCAGAGCATTAAGCAACGTGCGTGTGGACCGTCGTGTGTGCTGCTCATATCCTATCATAGCATTGTACTGGCCATGCATCTGCGACAGCGTACACAGCACATGCACAGAATGGCGTTCTCGTAGCCGCCGATGTCTGGCGACTGCGCATGTGTTGAGTCATGAAAAAAATAATTTTTGTTTCTCTTTCTTGTCGCTGTCACCCGCACTGTTGTCTCAGTTGAAAATCGTGCAGTGGTTGGAATCCAAAGTAATCGTAAGAGAAACCACAATTTCGTCTTATCACATTAGGGGCACGAAGACCAGAAAAAGAGTTCAGAAATATTTTTGTTATTACTGTTTTCTTGATTCGAAATCGAACAGATTTTGTCTTGGCAATCTCTGTGAAGCCTGCTAGGAATGATTTACTACATAGCCAGAGCGATGCATATAACAAACAAGAAATAAATGAAAAAAAAAATTGTTTTCGGCCTTTCAACATTTTGATCCCCCTTTTTCGACAACATCCCATGACGTTTCGATTAGGCCTACTTCCTTAAAATCTCTGCACAGGTCTTTCTCTAATAATGGATTGTGCTGAACTTTCAACTAACGCATCCATTCTGTCTTGCTGGTACACACCTGTTGATACGTCACAAGAATCACAGGCCGTTTTCCAATACTCAACTTTGTCTGTGTCTCAGGCTCTGCACAGGAAACCAATCCCTGATTGAGGGCCTGAAGCATTTAATTGAAGTTTTGTAATGTTTGGCTCTTTTGCATCTTACTTAATGTTCTGTGGCACTATCAGACTTACTATTGCGCTTACAACCTCAAAGTCAGGAAGTAAAAAAAACCAGTTGAAGCCTGAGGTGGAGCCCAAGTCGAGTATTTGAAAAACAGCCCTGGAATTATTGAATGTGTGACGCCCTCAAGTATCAACAATACTTTGAAAGTTTTAGCACGTCAAATTTTTCCTCAATTCTAGACAATACACGACAAAGCTCCATCCATGAAACGTGACACACTACAATAATACCCGCTCTTTAATATGGCGGCTCGTACTATCACTGCACATGCGCAGTTATCTGCAAACAGAGAATTGCTGGTCGGTTGCGTTTACGTGACTGATAGTAAAAACCAAACCGAGAATAGGTCGAGATAGCAGCATACAAATTCTACAAAATTGTAACGTGTTTTATTAACCTCTGCTGTATCTTTGTGGGGCTGCTTACATGAGGGATTTTTGACACATTATATTTTCCATTCTACTATCGTTTCAAAGCTTACTTTCAACCTGCACGTGGAGCATAAATGAAAAAAAACACTGTTGTTATTCCTGAATAATAATTATGAATAATACTTGGTAGACACTCTTGCAAAATAAGGCAAGCTGGGGAACTTATCAGTAATTTGGTAGGAATCTTATTAACTGTCAGAAGGCAGGCAAGCCGCTTACTGACCAAGACATAAATTCCAGGCCGAGTCTGAGAATGCGTCTCGCTAAAAACAATTATCTATATACACCGAGTGTAATTTGTTACCATTTTAACATAAAAATGACCTTTTACCTTCAAAAACTCCTTTGTTAAGCAGGCGAGGTTCTGTTCAAATTGGGGATGCTCTATAAAATCACGCGTTACCTATTATACAGGACCGAAAGTACTGCTTCGAATGGGAAAAGCTCGAAAATAATGAAGCTGGTGCAGTGAGTATCCCGTTTTTTTGGAGAGGAGACAAATGGGGCTCCCCCCGAAAACCAATTGTTTATTTTTTATAAGCCCCCCCCCCGCATTACTCCTATTGTACAGCCAATTGTTTTTACTTGATATACTTGATAAATCAAGGGGAAATTCCTGTTTAGACATTACACAATCAGATATAAGATATAAGACCTCACGTCGGTTCCTTTCCTTACAATAAAAATCTTTCGCAGCTATTTATTATTGTGTCCTGATATAAAAAAATTGGCACTACATGTGTTTTGATATGTCAAGAATGAACGCCATTATACACACTGGGTAAAAGTCACAAGGCCCGGTAGGTATTACGGGAGTCTAGGCCTACTTTCCAAAATCAAGTGATCGCTTTTTCCAAGTTAGCTTTCATTTGCGAGAGTCAAGCTATGAACTTTACTGTTGAAGTTCAAAGTTAGCATACCGGTCCTACGCTCCTACAGTACCTAATTACACGGTGGGTAATTTTCAGTATAATTACTGACCATGCTTACTGCGATCATTCTCTCACATACGCTGCAAATGCACACGTGGTAGAAATTAAAGCGGTAACAAAATGGCGCATAACCGTATAAAATTTCAGTCAAGTGGGTGGAAAAAATCATTCGTTATTGATGAGTGAAAAGGATACTTTCTTCTGATGCCCGAATCCCTCACTATATGTTAACTAATTTGCAGTGAACTCGGGATGTAAGTTGCCGAGTCACAACCGGATAATGCCATAGCTATCAATGACAAATGAGAAAAGTCGTTCCATCCGTGACCTTGCCAACGCCAGAGGGAGCTACAACAGTTGCCAGAGATAGTCCAATTCTTATAAAATGTTGCATGGTTTCTTTTCCTTGAAGGGGTTCAAGTTACTCTCACCCGTCACGAGGAAGTCCTCACTAGCGTGAGCTTCACAATATGCCTGAAAAGAAAACGAAAAAAAGCGCATTAATGATAAGTTCACCCCTAAAAAATTATCATGTGGTCGCATAAATTCCAAAAGGCGAAGCCAGTCTTGAGGTCTTCTGAGTCAAAGTATCTCAAACTGAAAATAAAAATGGACTCCTAGGCTGAGTTCGGGCGGCTTGTTCTCGTAAGTTCACGAACAGCTTGATTCGTTGTTCTTGGATCGGAAGCTCGAACGCTGGAAACATATAGCCGGTTGTGGCTGATAGTTTAGTGACAAGCAACATGCAATACGGCTACGTCCATGTACGTTATTCGAGAACTAACGTTTGGATAACTAGGCTGAATTCTTTTCTATTATATTTAAACAGGAACATTTTTTCTGTGTGACGGAAAATGATCGATGTTAATTTTGCAAAACGTCCTGTTGTCTCTAGCTTTGTAAGCCATCTCTCCACTTTTTGTAGCTGTTCAAAAATCAAAACCTCACGAGTTTTTCTGTGTGTTCCCGTAAAGCCCTGACGAGGAGGTGGTGTGTGATCCTGCTCTGAGAACAGTGTTCTTGAGTCGTGTTCCCAGCGTTCGAGCCCGAGAACAAGAAACCCGCGTCAAGAACAGGCCGCCCGAACTCGACCCTAAAGTTCACGGGGGATCTAGACTGGAAAAATCGACTCGACAAATTTTTGGAATTGACTTGAATCCCGGGCTGTTGTCATAAAAGTATTCGACCTAGGCCAACTTCACAATGGCGCCGGTGATATCGTGTTCGGAATGACGTTTGAGAAGTTACAGAGTCTAATTGAGCTGAGATCAAGTCTCTCGGGGCACTGCGATCAAATCTGGACCTTTTAAATCCTATGTTAAATAAACAGACTTTTTGTTTCATTTCAATAGATCCCCTCTGGAGCAAAATCATTGAAAATCTAGGGTTTATGACCAATTTATTATGGTCCAATTAAAGGCCGGTTCATACGTAAGGAGAAAGCAAACACGAACGCGAATTTGTGACGTCAAATCAAATATTCGCGTTGCGAACTCGCCAAATATGAACACATTTCAAATCGAGCCAAATGTCGCCGCAAATCGCTATCACATTCGCCTGAAGTGTGAAGCGGCTTTAAGGGCCCGAAAGTTCGAATAAAGGATCAATTTTTTTGATTAAAGCTATCATTTACTACTGTTTGCAAACAGTAGTTCAGAGATAACCATCGATCAGTTCCTCTTGCTGTTGTATTGGTTGATCCGTTGGCTTCAACATACCATAAGGTCTGCCCCCGCTTCAGACACTCTGATCCGTTCGATGTCAGCTTCTCTGCGAAGCTGATCCACAGTTTTGCGGAGGCCGGCGACCTGTGTAAATGTTCAAATATTGATCAGGAGATATGAGACAACGTCACCATTGGCTTTCTGTAGCCATGACAAATTTTATGTTAGGAGTTGACGGCCTTGTGTGGCAAACTGAACACGTAGACGGCCATTTGGTGATGATCCTTCCCTGAACACTATAGGCCAAAAAGCCACTCAAAGGTGTGGGCTACATTGATGAATATGTCATGTCCATGACGGACGACTATGACAAAAATACAAATACTACTTCCATCACGAACTTATTGAACGCTGAAGTTTAAAATATGTTGTTTTAATTTGCAAGTTTGAATTTCAGACATATCATTTTGAATAATGCCAGTGACTTGTAATCTGATGCACAACCCCACTTCACAGAGCATAGCTTGTTTATGCAGAAGTCTCCATTTATATTAAAAGTAGTTCCATCATAATTGCATTTCAGAAAATTTATTGCCATTCGCCGAACAGAATCGATATTGTGCTTACCTTGGTGGTTGAAAGTATTTACCACCAAAGGTAATCGTATTCGTTCCGGAGATTTTTGGGTGATTATGAAATTCAGTAAAATTGCTTGAATGATGAGGTTCATGTCAAAGGTCATGTGCGCTGGGCCTCAGTGGTCGAGTATTTGCCTTACCTTTGCAGACATTGTGGGCGACGGTAACTGTGCTCGTCCCAGTTCTGCTTGTTGTTATGACAACCAAAAGGAAGCAATCAAACACTTGGCAAGCTGGTAAGCGAAGAGCTAAAAACGAAGACAAGTAAGGACGGGTAAATATAAAAATTGTATTATTATCTTTGCTCGTGTAGGTGATACGTGAATAAAAACGAAAACACTACATACAATGCCTTTAATGGTGTCCAACCCCTCAGGATGTGTGGGTGAATTCTGTTTCCTTATCTGGCTTTGCAATCCGGATGTGCTACGTCCTTTGTATTATTCCAAGCTGCACACACGGTAATGGTGTATGGCAATATATGACTACTAAACCAACGCCAGCAAAAGACTATCGGGGTCTCACATACGCTTGCAACAGTTCCCGTTTTGAAAGCCAGAGATGATTATTGTAAATGGACAAGTGTAACGAGAGCACTGCAGGGCCATAGATACTGCAACTTGGGTAGACAAAACTAAGTGCAGAGACAAAGGTAATACAGCTCGTTATAGGCTTTCTGAGACACTCCCATGACTAGAGTCCATAATGTAATCATCTTTTCCTACCTCAATGATCATGACCGTCTATACACGCCCTGTAAACAAACTCATTCAATGGATCGTAACTTGTAGCGTAAACCTAACATAGTACTGACTGGTACCACGGTACGAACGAAAAACACAATGTTTGCTTAAGGACACATACTGACTGGCGCTATCGAAACTAATTTGACAAAACCCCAAACAGATCGTAAAATAATGGCTGCTACTTCCTTGTCCTACGACCAAAGGGTTGTTCATGCCTTAAAGGACAATGCATTCACATGCTGTGTAATTGTCGGTCTATGCTGTTTAAATTGAGGTTAAAATTTAAAAAGCAAAGTTTGAAAATAATTACCGTCGGTGGCGCCGTCAAAGGAGCATGTATGGTGGAGGTATATCTACTGCCAGACATTAGCAAATGACACGTTCATCAGTTGGATGGGTTAGTTGATGTTGCTATATTGACGGAGTTCAGTTTTTACGTGCGCATAGCTGCATAGTCCACACGATAACTGGCAGTGACTATCGTGGTGAGGATACTTTACAGAATACAGGAAGTCCCTCCTATATTCCAACCATAGTCTTCACTATGACCGCACTGGTACTTGCAAACCAACTTTCCACAGAATCGTGTATTGCGACGCAAGGGTTTGTGGGACATCCAGCTCGCTGTCGGCGTAAACAGTGGTTAGGTGTGGTAACGTAGCCTGGAAGTTGTTTCCGAAGCTTGTCGAATATAAGCGCTGCAAAATTAGCCTGGACCAAACAACGCCTGGCAGTAACCTCGTCCCAAGCCGTACGCTCTTGCTCTCGTGCCCCATTCGCCGATATAAGCGAGGGCATGGACCTCTGGACGATTATCCGGTTTCAAATTGCAATGAGGGAAACTTGATTTATGCGGACAATGTCCTTGTCTTTCCTTAACAAAGCGTCAAAAAGCTTCAGAATTCAGCCTCAGCAATCAAAGGCCATGAAAAGTTAAACGAAGAAATTCCCAGTATTTCAGCACCCCGAAAAAACCATCTCGCAAATTTGGTCCCGGATCCGACCTTTATTGTATCAGATTTTTTGCAAATCCGACAATGGTTGGAGAACAAAAAGGAAAGTGAAGTCGGAGATTCCCTACAAGATCGACTATAAAACAACACGACGATCCCACCCGAAAAATACTCTTAAAAAGGGTACCCGGCACACAGCGTAGGCCCTTAAGCCGCTAAAAACCATTTTCTGCCATAATTTATTGAGTTTATTCACTCATTGCTTTGTTTTTTCTTTTCCTCCCTTGATGAAGCAGAACATCAACAAATAACTCTCAAAGTTTTATTTCGCACGTTCAGTATTTACAACAAAAAGTCAGGTCCATTTTTTTTCGATAGGTTGTAAAGCTTATTTAAAAGAAACTTCGGCTAGAACGTTGAAGTAGTTGGTTCAGATAGCGCCCTCAAGGAGAAACTAAAATGAAGCCGTCGTTCTTTTTACATGTAATACTATTATTTAAAATAGAACCACATAACAGAAAGGAGCTTACACCAGAATAAACAGAGAAACATATACACGTTAACATCTTTGTTATTTCGATCATTCTGTGTATCTTACATGAAATCCTTTAAACATTTCATTTACTGCATCGTGTCAAATATATACTTTGGAACTGAAACAATACTAGTACTAAATGAACAATTTCAAAATAAATTGCATATTATCTTCTGCTGTGTAATACTAGGAAATCATGCACATTATCAGTACAAATGTATTTGGTTATATATTCCATACACGTAGTTGCAACTATCTCGAAGGGAATGTAAGTATATTGAGTACATAATATGAACATTTAACTTAATCCTAACCACTGCTACGGACTTCTCGGGTTGATTTTGTGACCAATTTGAATGCACGAATCGGCATATCTGCCGACCGGCTCAAATTCACCACGTTGGAACATTTTAACAGAACAAAAAAACGAAATAAAGACTGAAAGACTATTCAAAAACTACACAATAACAAAGTGTTTCAAAAGATACCTGCATTTCCTGCAGGCAAACCTGAAGTCCAGAAACCGCAGAGTGCAGCACATTTCCATTTCTGGAAGCCAACAAAATATATGGAATGAAACCTCTCCATTCATGTCACCATTCAAATTTAAACACAAAAACTACTACAAATGTATTTCAAACACTATTGCATACCAAAACAGGAACACTGGAAGCATCAAAATATTTTAAAAATATGTTGGCAAGAACACTGAAGTACAAAATATGTGCATACCTAAATTTAAATAAGCACAGTTTACGTTGAAACCGAACGTCATGCCTTGTTATTTCCAAATCGGTATATTTAAAGGAGCAAAATAACAGCTACAATTACAAATAACGTCACTCGAAAATCTGTAGTGAAATACAGTATTCGAAACAATTACTTGATCGCCAGTGAGACTCTCAAATACACTTACATTTTTTGCAAGATAGGGATGTTTAAAAAATCGAATTTCCTTTCAGTGCCAAAATAAGTTACTGCTATAAAAATTAATAAATAGGTAAATAAAAACCCAAAAGCTCGATATCACTTATTATCTCCTCAAATACAATACTGTAGTTTTTTTTCGCGCAATGAAAAAAAACCATTAATTTTATAACATACATTACAAATACGTACAGGGACATTCACAAAGACTGGTTTGCATTTCAGACCTATAAAATGAAGGAATCGATCAGAATTGTCTGTTTGTCTGGATATTGCGACGAACAGACGATCTGTTAACGAAATAAATGCTGCTATACTACAAATGGGCATTCCAAAAGAGAAACGTTGAACCCCCCCCCCGAAAAAATTACGCACACAAAACAATCTCCAGGCCCAGCCTTTCTGCATTTGCAGACGAGTATATTTGTTTTTACAGCAATTGCCGGTTGGCCTAATTTTTCCCCAGATCTCAAATGTGTTACGCTTGGAGTTCCTGGATATCCTACTGGTTAGGAGGCCTGAGGGTGGCTTGCACTTCGTGGTTGAGACCGAGTCCAGTCGAATAATTTCAAGTCGAAGACTGTACGTCAGTTGCTAACACTATTACAGCTTTAAAAGGATTATAAAGAAGTCTGTAAACTGTCAAATGGCAGTCGCCCTGTGAACATGGAGTAGACAATTTAATTTCTCACCATAATTAGCGAGTCTTCTGATTTGAGAAAACAAATTACAATTGTAATTACTTACAATTAACTCTTGTTGGCACTTAAAAAAATCAAACACTTCTTTTTATCTGGTTGGCGAATGCATATAAATATAAAAACTTCGGAGGCTTGAATGTGGGTAATCTATTTCCAAAAATATTCTAAATACATGTATTCAGTTATTACATTGGAGAAAAATACAGCCATCTCATTAATTAACAATTACAAAAATATATAACATCAACAACTGGTAAGGCTACTTATGAAGTATCGCCTGTGCATGAAGATATGCAAACCAAAGAGGTGGGAGGGGCTATTCAAACTGGTGTAATTATGTATTTAGTAGGCGGGGCTTTACATGTAACACCACCGATCAGAGATGTTACTATCGAATGATAGACAGAATGAGGGCAGACTATATAAGCATGTGTGTGGGACATATAACCGGGCAGTAGGTGTTGTTACCCACAATGCCATTGGGAAGCAGACTGGCATCTGACCACTTGTTCGATTAAAAACTTGCAGGCCAAACCACAGCTATTCTAAATAAAGTACTGAAAAAGTCAAGGTTTCAAATAAGCTTGACCTTAGTTACTTGGTTTGATTATTTTAAAAGGACGAAATGACCATCTTATTAAAAGTTCACTCATTTGAAACTTTCATTTTTTGCACCTGTTCTATAGAATCCAGCCTAACACTAAGGCTGACTCTTTTAGAAATTCTTCACAATTTGCACAAGCCCGCTGCCTTAAAAGGACACGTACCTCACAAGCAAATTTAAAGGAGTAGCATGTGATTGATAATAATCTTGGGCCCGTTTGACAAAACTTCACGTCAAGTCTGCTGCAAATGAAAGTAGTCGGCTTTAAAGCAGGACTTTAGTAGAAAGAAATTTGACTCGATTGAAAGATTTTTGAGATTTTTGAGATTGAAAGATTTTTGTAGCTTCTTGTTCTAGCTCAAAATCTCTTATTACAAGGACTTCTTACTATAAATTAGGGGTTTTATTGTATCCAGATTCCATTCTTGATTGTATATTTTTATACATCGCATTTGTAGTAACGTACTAATGCTTATTTGTTACTTATGCGTTGAATTTTGAAATATTTTTGATATGAAAGGCCAAATGAAATTTCCTGGTGAAGATAACAGAACAAATTGAAATCAAATATAATCATTTGATCATGACTACTAAATTGAAATAATAACTACATTTTTAGCACCATGTGTTATGAGCCATACTGACCAATTCATAACCCTATAGTCACACATCTCAATCCGGCAGCATTGTCAATGAAATCATTCATTTACATAAGAGCACCCTTTTGAACGACAACTTGTGCAAAAATTCATCAATGTAATCTTTGGCAAAGTCAGCACATGTAAAAAATTACTTGAACTGCACCACAGTTAATGATTCAAGCATCATTATGAGATTTAATTTCTAAATCATTATGAAATTTGATTTCTTAATCATTGTGAGATTTGATTTCTAAATCATTATGAAATTTGATTTCTTAATCATTATGAGATTTGATTTCTTAATCATTATGATATTTGCTTTCTAAATGCCTTGCAGAGAAAAAAGTATCTAAATTCTTCAGCACCGTAATTAACAACTATGATATTTTTTCTGAAACATTGTTATATCTAGCGAAGTCTCTTTCCAAACTCATTGCATGCAGCCATAAATGTCAAGTGGTTGGTTATATCGTTAAATATATAAGAGAACTGACTGCAGTTTACATATGAAAGACATAACTGTGTTGTGGAGCCCCTTACATGATCTTCGTTCAGGCTCCACTTCTTAATATTGGAAAACTTCTTTGGAACTGAGAACTCAAGACTTTCTGAAAAGGGATGTCATTGCCACATTCGGGACCGACAGCACTGCTACTCAAGTTTTGGACTATTTCAGAAGATTTTAGTCAGACAAAAAAAGTCAATATTCTCATACCTTAAAAATATTCCTATATACAAAAATCATTCTGCATAAGCCACTGAGTGATCATATGAAAGCCCTCTCGTCATGTTGGCACCTTGGCCGGGTATTCAATCCTATCACTGCTAACCTGTGCAATATTTTGACCGTTGTCCACTTCTCCCCATATTTGCAGACGGTATAAATTTTCATCAACAAATCTTTAAAAGACCAGAGGCGCCCTAAATCTTCGATGATTCTGGCCTGGTACTTGCAAGAACTGGTAACCCTTATCCGGTGAGGGTTTTCCTACCTGAAGTTTTCATAGATGTCGAAGGATTCCAGATGCATTACAGCCGTCTCATAGCAGAACTTGTATTGCTCCTGGAAGCAACGGCAAAACGGCAATACATTTATATGCTATCTTTTCATTCAACATTAGCAAACAGTGGTATACAGGCAACATGAATCTTACTCCATGTAGAAGGTATTAGTAATCCATACATCTGGAATTCTCCTATTTTGACATTTCTATTTCAAACTTTGTATTTTTGTGTCGTTGAAAGGAGTATTATAAAACAAGATCAATCTGTTCATGAGCTGAATACAATTATATTCTTAATAATCAGTTTATAAAACTAAAAATCTTTTTCTAGCAAAGACTTAACTTTAAAAGGGTTTGAAAACATTGCATTCCTTCAGCATTCTGCTCCGTATCTTCACT